CTATTTGTAATGCCTTTTTACTAAATGCATATGTATGTATGTACATACACGTTCATATACCAAAATTACACATTTTACATTTTTTTTTTCTATCTGTCTGATGTTCCGGCTTATCTCTAAAACGGCTGTACTGATTTTGACTGGACTTTCACTGCCAGATAGCATAAATGCTAATAAGTAGTAACTTAGGCTAATTTCCACGCTCAACTCAACTTATAATATTGTTAACTAGAATATTGTTATCACCGAATATCGCTATATTCGCTGATTTCCTGGCGATCGAGTTTGACAGCTCGGTCATTGTACTCTGCGATCGCTACTTAACGATCGCAAACTTTGTCGAGACTGCAGCTCCAGCTGATATATTCCTTATATTCTGTGCATGAATTTTTAGACTATGGAAACTGAACGTTAGCTTTGAGTAGATTGATCAGTGCTTATAGTGACCTCTTTTTACTACATTTGCATGCTATAGTAAATGGCTGGATAGTCGATAATTATATTTTTTCTTCCATCTTTTTTGTATAGCCTATTCAAACGCAAAAATAATATTATTATAAATATTAGAACAGTTGTCTCTAATAACATGATGCACTTGTAATGCTGGTTACAAAGCATTTTTTAATTACCTATTTATAATTGGGGAAGGACAACACATAAAGTTTATAAATAGGTATTAATTTAATCATGTATGGCCAATAGAATGTTCCACGATAAAGTAAGCATTACGTGATAATATTGAATGAATGAATGAAAAATTCTTTATTGTACACCAATGGACAAAAACAAATATAGGGATACAATAAATGTGAATGCATAATTGGCGGCCTTATTACTAAAAAGTAATTTCTTCCAGGCACTATTTTGAAATAATTATTTATTGAATAGTTTGATAAGTTTCAAATTAAATTTGTAGCTCAAATTAATGGAGTTTTCCGTATCCGTTTTTTTTTTATGATCAGCGCTGCGGTGGGACCGCCTAACTCATGGACGTAGCCGTAGTCGTAGCTATAACCTACGCTTCATCGATATTTCTTATGAATCCGTTTATATTCTTTTAAAATTAATTGTTTTTTATTTATATATTTTATCAAACATTTTGGTTTGTTTTTCTTTTCGAAATAGCATTGTTTGTATACATTCGGCATTCTGTAAATTTCGTTTAACTTTAATAATTCAGCAAACAAAAACAACTAAAAGCATTGATTAAATATGTAAATAATAAAAAAATATTAATTTCAAAACAATATCAACAGATTCATGTGTAAAACCTATAAAGCTTAGGTTATAGCTACGACTATGGCTTCGTCCATGAGTTAGGCGGTCGCACCCCTGATCTTCCGTTTGAGTCAACATCGTCGGGTTCTAAATTAAAACCTTTAATGCCTTCTGAAGCAGGTTTGATTGTATCTCTAATACTGTAACAGCGCCGAACTTGCGTTGAGCTTGTGTTCGACGTTGATTTTTAATAGGACTGCAGATTTTTTACTTGCCTCGCCATATATTGTGATGACAAACTAATTTTGTCTGTCCGCTAAGTAAATTGTTAAAGAATATTTAACACGTATTTTTTGCGTAATCAATTAATAACGGCCATACAATTAGTTAAAATGTCACATGACGTCACACTTTTGTACATTTTCTACAAAGCTGTGACGTTCGAGCCCCCACTAATCTTTAATGCCTGTTATCTAAGCTATTATTTATTTAATTGAAGCAAAAAAAAATACGTATCCATTATCTGACTGACGAACTATATAGAATTTCTTTTTTTTACCAAGGCAAATTTTTTATTAGCCCAGAGGTTTAATTTGATCGAACCTCTACTAATACTGTAACAGCGCTGCGCTTGCGCCGATTTAGACGCAATTTTTTTTTGGGACTGCAGGTTTTTTCTCATCTTTAACGGAGCAGTCGTCTTATATCGCAAAAGATCACAGCTCATTCATTTAATTACATTAACCAAATCAAGGTATTAAACTGGAAAAACCTTGTCCAAACCGACCTCGTTTAATAACAGAGAGTCCGCCTCCATACTAATAAGCCTCTAGGAACCACATCATAGGATGTTATCTATTGGAACGGGGAAATATACCAAAGAATTTATTGGTAATATCGATGGCTCACTTGATGGGTACTTACGGGCATTTCCAGCATCAGACCGCGCACTTAGCCGTATCTGATCTCCGGCGTTTGACCTGAGGGGTCAGGAATTGATTCTTAAATTTCTATTTTAGGTACCTCTATGAGGCAGGCACGATGTCTTCCCGTGATGCCTTGGAGGTTTCGAAACTGTTCTAATTGGTCCATCAATACTTTCATATTATTTATTGACTGACAATAAACTTATTTATTACTAGATTTTGCTGGTGACTTCATCCGCGTGGTATAGCTATTTGGTTATTTGAGCAGCATTTATAAAATGAATATTTATTCATTATATCGTGTAAAATACCTGAAATAAAGTTTCATGATTTTATTTTCGATCGTAATGACGAACCTCCGTACAATCTATTTATCACAATAATTGCAACTTAGTATGTCGTATCTCAAGTAAACTCTGTTTAGTGGGTTTTTTTTATGGAATAGGGTGCAGTCGAGCATACGGATCACCTGATGGTGAGTGATTACCGCCGCCCATGGACACCTGCAACACCAGAGGAGCTACAAGCGCGCTGCCGGCCTTTGAGGGACGAATAAGCTCTACGCTTGAAAGGTTAAAGGTCGTAACAGTCCGGAAATACCGCTGGCGACAAACTGTTCCAGAGTTTGGCTGTGCGAGGCAGAAAACTTCTAGAAAAACGGGTTAGGCGTGAGAGGATAACTGACATATATTTGGGATACTTTGGCATGTATAATATTAATATGGAATAATTAAACGATCCTCCTTGTCGCTCATTACATCATCATACATTATATTATAATAAAAGATTACCAGGCAGTTAGCAAAATAAATAGACTAAGAACAATATATTCACGATTGCTTGGTGGAATTTTAATCTCACGGGTGTTAAAATGGAAATTAAAAGTTTTAAACTGTTACAATGATACTTATAAGCAAGGTGTAGCGTTGGAGTAAATTAACGCTAAACTTGCAATTTTAGTATTAGTCCATATTTATATTACACAGAGAATAAGCAAATCTACCACCTTCTAGGAGCAAATATTACTCGCGTAGAACCTCGTACTAGGTTAACTTTTGTTAAGTCTCTGTATAATAATATGAATTTTGACTAACACGAAGAGCAGTATCAGCGTAAATTTACTCTAATGCTTAAACCTTGTTTATAAGTAGCACTGTTAATATATAATAGATATGCCGTAGCCAATTGGGTGAAAGATCCTTCTAATTAGGCGGCTAGTCCTATAATAGAATGACGCCATTCATTTGCACGGCTAAACATCGATTAGCTGAGTAACCATCACAATGTTCTTCTACAGTGCGGCTGTACCCAAGGAACTGTTAACCAACTGTCAAAGATCACTATACAAACCACGCTTATTAACTTTATTTATAGCAAAATGTCCGCGGTATTTGAATAAAATTACTTTGATGTTCATCTTCGAAGACACTACAACGAAAAGCTATATGTATTTATTTAGATAAGATTCATCAGCTATACATTAAACGACTAATGTCCAATAAATTACAGTACTTTATCTCTGAAAACTTTAGAGCTATTTATCCGATTTGAAATACAGATTGAAAGAAAAACACAAATCTAATATTCAATCAAAACTTAATCGTAAACTGTTAAGAATAAACGCCTTCTTTATGGATTGGTTAAAGAGGATAGACCATGACTCTCAACGCTGGTTGTAAGTTGCAAATGCAGCGTAACGTATCTTCCGAATCATTGAGAAGCTTGAAATAATATATTTTTGGTTACCCATCCCGTAACCAACCCTTGCGAATGTTGCTTAACAACAACGATCACAGGCCGCGGCGCTTATCCACTACGTCACCGAGCTGCTCATCAATAGGAAATAAATACTTGAAAACTCAACCTTGACCAAAACAGTATGTAGAAGTATACTTAACGCCATCTATCGATATAGGACCAAACATAAAGAAGCTTCATACAAACGTTTTCACCCTTTCCGACCCCCTTCCAGGTGAAATTTCTAAAAATCCCTCTTTAGTACACCTCTAAATAATAAGAAAAATGAATCCTCCAAAGTTTTAAGTCTTCACCACCAGCGGTTTAGGCTGTGCGTTGTCTGTCAGTAAGTCAGGACATCTCCTTTTATATACCTATATGTGTTATTATAATTGTTCACCTCGGTGGGACAGGCGCTAGATTAAGCGACTTACACCCGTTTTCACTAAGCTAGAACAAGGCATAGATTAACTAGGAAATGCCTAATCTTACGAAATGTCTAAACAGATTAGATTCTAAATAAACATAAATTTCTTTTAAACGTGAACTCATTTGTGAATAGTCATATTACGCAAACGCCTAGCGCATGGCGCCACATTACGCATGTCATAACTTGAGACATTGCTTAATGTCGTTAGGAGGTTCCTAGACATCGGTAAAATGCATTTTCAGCTAAGACGATATTTTTCTTGGTTCCGTGCTTTGCCAGCCATTGTGAGCGTTATCAACTCATCGATGATCCTAGATTGTGGGTATGGCGCATTTTTACCCCACCACTCCATTTTTGCCACTCTTTCGGTAATAATAACTTATGTCACCCGCGTATAATGTAGCTTACCAAAGGTGATTTTTTTTTTAAATCGATTCGGTAGTTTTTAATGGAAACAGCATTAAAAGCATAGAGCAACTTGTGTCCTATATTATGAAGAGTATTAATGTCACTATTGAGAACATAGAGAAATTAAAATAAAATAAAGAGTGTAGGTAATAAACAGTATTCGAAAAAAATATTGATTCGAGGTGCATGTATTATTTATAGATCTTGTTATAGCTCAATAATTAGTGGATTATACCAAATGTATCGTTTACTGCGTTCCGAGAAGCATTATAAAGGCTAAAATGGACGAGGGTCAAGAATCTGTTACCACTACTACGGTAGAAGAGGTCGATATTTATATACCAATTTACGTATTGACTGGAGTCTTTGGAGCAATTTTCATCATAGGTCCATTTTTGGTCCCCAAAAAGAACGAAAATCGAGAGTGAGTTTTCACAGTTTCTATTACTTTTGCACTACTTAAGATCTCTTTACTTTACTATCTTAATGCTATTAGGTAAATATTTGATAGTTACCTAAAGTTTTCAAGTTACTTTTTGGTGTAATAAAGTGGCGCTTGCAACAACGGTGAAATTCGGGAACTCAATAAAAACAAGGTATGTACATGGTAGCAATCCCTTAAAAAACTAACATTCTAATATATAAATTAACATCTAAAACCATTTATAAGAAGTTTAGTGTCTAGCTAAGTGACAATCGGATTCGCGCACAAAGGATTTCGTACCATTATCTATAAAAAAATACGTTTGTTTTATAGGATTTTTAGTATTTTCATCTGTCTAAAGACGGAAAGTGGAGGCTTGTGGTTTATATTTTCCTTTGTTCCCGTTGAGTCACACTCATCCCTCAAAAGGTAAATCCGCTATGTTATCTGTTTATGTAAATCAAATAGGGAGAATATACCATGACCACGCGGGCCCAATGCGACTTGGTAGGTGTTTACGACTACAGATGCAGCCGGAAGCGACGGCTTACCGTGCCTTCCGAAGCACGAAGGAGCTCGAGATAATAAATGTTAGTCACCCATCCTGTGACAAGAAGTTCTAACATGATCGAAAAAGATTTAGAAATAAATGAAACAACTATTTCATTTCAACACGGTTTCATTTATGGATAGTGCTAGTGACTTAGGAAATCAATATAATTTAGAAAAATATTTATGATGGATTAATTAAAAGGGATTAAACGCGAAGAATATGTATTTGGAAGAAACAATACCAGGAATATTTAAAAGGAACTTTTGTTGCAGAGTTATACAACACTGCATAATGTTGACAGCTTTTTGTATGTGGATTTTGTAAGTATTAATAAAGAAATGTATATTCGATTTCAATATAATCAAAGCGATAGTTTGTGATTGTTGACTAGCACCCGGTTTCTGAATTGAGAATTTGAAGTTCTCAAACCGTGCTTAAGCCATTTTAAACGTCAATAAAACAGGTTTTCATCACTGATTTCTAATTTTTTAATTGACAGCAGTTTGATAAAACTGGGACTTTTTGTCATATTAAACGTAAAAAACTTAAGTTATTGAGAATTATCAATTAGATTTTGTGCTTTTCTAAATTCAGAAACCAGTCGATATTTGTGTAATTTCTTTCACTTCATGGTATCTACTCGCAGGATGTCAAAAGTTAATTTTTTTTATGAAACAATACTAAAATGTTTCTTGACGTTTAAAAAATTCGCTGCTATAACTTACATAAGAGAACTATAGTTCATATTATAGCGTGGCGCCTGCCAGACTGACGTTAGTTCAGCAGCGCTATATCATCTCGAAAAGTTTTTTTTTAGTTTAGCTATTTAATTACACTGCCTCTGATGCACAGATAATATCCACGAATATAATTTTTAAAAAAATTAGAACGATTCGAAAAATCGAAATTGTCCTTCGTTCGTAAACAAACACAGTAGACCCTCTGTTGTGCTGCTGCGTAGGTCCCTCGAGTTCTTTTTCAGTAAAACTATAACCAAATTTTGTTTTCCTTTCGATCATAGTTACGTAAATTATTAACTTCAGTTAATTGTACACAAAAAAATATTTTTTTAGATGGGTCACCATTTATATTGCCCAAATGCACCCACTGAAGGCCCCGAGGCTAAAGAACACGACCATGGCTTGGCTCGTCAATGGTGACGTAAGTTGATAGAAAAAAACTTAAACAGTAATAATTATACATTATTGGAAACACTCAAATTAAATAACATTGGTAGCAATTCTGTTCCACAAACCCTTTGATCACAAACAAAACTAAATTTAATCTTGTCAAATTCCTTTTTCAATTTAAATATCAACTAAGAAAATATAAATAAAATAATTATATTTTATTTTATATGAGTATAATTTCTTCGATTACATATGGAATAACGTTTAAGCAAATCCAAATTAAAGTTCATTTGGTTTAGAGATAGAGAAGAGACAACAGAATTGACCCAATAGGGATGATGACTAATTTTTATTAGTTTGTCCGTCAGGTAGAGTGTTAAAAAATATGAAACACGTATTTTTTTATTTTTTTCGTAATCATAAAATTACGGCGTTACATGGAGTTGAAATTTCACATGACGTCACGTTAGGGTACGTTTTCTACTCAACTGTGACGTAGCGAGCCCCCAGTCCTCGACTTTAATGCCTGTTATCTAAGCTATTTATAGTTAAATTGAAGTAAAAAAAAAATACGTATCTAATATTTTTCTATTATCTAACTGACGGACTAAATAGAATTGCATATTTTTTACCCAGCCATCATCCCTATTGTACTATGTATGCCATTAGGCATTAGTATTATATTTTTCTGTCGCGAGGAGTACTGACTTTTCTCAATATTTATTATACGTGTAGTTCAGTATATTGACGGATCTCAATATTTATCAGAAACTGGCAAACCGGAATCCGAAAATCTAGATTTTTGTGACATATATTGTCATCTATCAATATAGCAGACTAGACGAACAATATATATTACAATATGAGATCAACATTGATGGATAACAATATTAATTGTACTTCTAGCCTTCGCCTATGGATGGAATGTTATCTTCCTTGTAAATCTATGGTGCAATACAGTCATCATCATCATCAACCAAGAGACGCCCACTGCTGGCCTCCCCCAAAGATCTCCAACGTGATCGGTACTGCGCCTCCCGCATCCAGGGGCTTCCCGCGACCTTCACCAGATCATTTTGTGGGGGGCCTAACAACACTGCGTCTCCCGGTACGCGGTCGCCACTCCAAGACCTTACCGCCCTAACGGCCGTCAGTCCTGCGAGCGATGTGCTCTGCCCACTGCCACTTGAGGTTCGCAATTCTTTGGGCTATGTCGGTGACTTTCTATCTTCTTCGGATCTCATCATTTCGGATTCGATCTCGCAAAGAAACCCCGAGCATAGCCCTTTCCATTGCCTGCTGAGCGACCTTGAGCTTCCTTATGAGGCCCATCGTAAGCGGCCAAGTCTCAGTTCCGTATGTCATCACTGGCAACACGCACAAATTGAAGACTTTCGTCTTGAGACACTGCGGTAAATGTTCTGAGAATATACTGCGTAGCTTGCCGAACACTGCCCAGCTGAGTTGGATCCGTCGATTTACCTCTCTTTGGAAGTTGTACTTTCCTAATCGGACTATTTGTCCCAGGTAAACGTACTCGTCGACAGCTTCCAGTGTAGAGCCTCCAACATTCACTGGAGTGTGTATGACATGGGAGTTTGACATTATTTTCCTCTTCTCCGTGTTCATTTTAAGACCCACTTGTTGGGAAACTCTACAGATATCTTCGAGCATTGTGCCTAGATTTTCCATGGTCTCAGCCATGACTACGATATCATCAGCGAAACAAAAGTGCGTCATGTACTTGCCGTTTATATTGATGCCAAGTCCTCTCCAGTCCAAAAGCTTAAACACGTCCTCCAATGCGGCAGTGAACAGTTTCGGCGATATAACATCGCCCTGTCTCAATCCACGCTGATGTCGTATTGCTTTCGAATTTTGGTCCTGGAGCCGAACTGACATGGTAGCGTTTTCATACAGTGACTGCAATACTTGGATGTATCGATAGTCTATTTGGCACCTCTGGAGTGACCTAAGCACGACCCAGGTCTCGATGGAGTCAAAGGCTTTCTCATAGTCCTCAAACGCCAAGCACAGTGGCAGATTACACTCCTCGGTCTTTTGTAACCTGTCGCAGCGTATGAATGTGGTCTATAGTACTGTAACCTTTTCGGAAACTGGCTTGTTCAGGAGGCTGAAAGTCGTCAAATCTACGTGCGAGACTCTCGAAAACAGCTTGTACACATAACTCAGAAGCGTGATAGGTCTGTAATTCTTCGATTGGGCCCTGTCGCCCTTTTTGAAGAAAAGCACCACCATGCCCCATGCATGAGTATGGCGGAGTTGAATAGCTTCTGAAGCGCTTTCCGGACTGGTAGTCCACACGCTTTCAGAAGTTCCGCTGAGACTCCGTCATACCCCGACGCTTTGTTGTTCTTGAGCTGTTTAAGAGCCACACTTATCTCGTATAGACTGACGTCCGGGATGTCTTCTGTATAATGTCGGGTTAATTTGTCTCTAGGGTCTGTAGCCTCAATGTCAGGTTTCTGTGATGTTGCGTATAACTGTCCATAGAAGCGTTCGATCTCCGCCACAAGCTCAGGACGGGATGTAACGACTCTGCCGTCCTCCGTCTTCAGCTTCCTAAGCAAGCTCTGACCGAGAAACAAATCTCTAGCAAACACTTTGGAGCCTTTGTTCCGCTCAATCGCCTCCTTAATACATTGAGTATTAAATTGGCGTATCTCGCGTGTGAGAGACTTCGAGATCTGTCTATTGAGTTGCCGACGAGCATCTTCAGAAGACTGCAGAACCATTCCACGCCTTTTTTCCATTAGCTTGCTTGTTTGCTTCTAGATCTTGTTTTTTTTTTTGAGTACGGCGAGGTTTCAGAAATTTTGAACCCACCGCAAGGACAGCTTCTACGATGCTGTAATTGTATTCGACCACATCCGAGCAGCTCTCCAGGCAATCGTAGCGATGTTGAAGCTCGAGCTAAAAGTGCTTGGGGTCTTGGATCTGGGTGGCTTCAGGCCGGAGCGTATACTCCAACGAATCCTGCCCAATTCCTTCTCTAGTTCCAGCAGCTTCTCCTCGGTCCACAGTGTGCGTGCGTTGTAGGTTGCCAGGGCCAAGGTCGCTTGACGGGGGATCTTTGCCGCCCGGGGATTCTTCGCACCCCTGGTACCTTTGCCGAGTCGACGTCCGTCCGCGCCGGCACGGCTTACGCTACCGCCGGGCACTTGGGACCTTTCCATTGGGAATATCTTTGAAGGGTTTTGGGCCGTCTCCCACCACGATGACCCAGTGCGGATTGATGGGAAGCGCCAGAGCCTCGTTGGTTAGTCGGCAAGGTATACCGCGTGTAGATGAGGTTGACATGGGATCCGTTAGATGTTGTTCGTAACCCCTTACATCCCGAGGTGTGAAATACAATAATATTGGACTTTAGGTAGATAGTACAATGGCAAAATGTAAATAGTTGAGATTCTATTGAGATGAAATTATTAAGTTAACGTTAGCATAACTGACTAATAATTATTGTTCATTTCATACCAACATACCCCCGGTAAATCTAAGGCTTAATCTGTATTAATGTAATAGTAATTGGGCTTTAAGATAGTACATGGTTATGTATTAATGTAGTTTTGTATTAATGAAAAGATTGGCAAATATTACTTTTGCCTGGAGCGTCACAATAGCTGGACTGAACATTGCCTTGAATTGATCATGGGTTTATTGGAGAAGTTCGGGTTGAAAGGTAGCACTGACGGGTCTACCTCCTAGTACAGATACATCGGTTGGCTCGATATCAGACTTAATAAAAATGCACTCGTCGTCAAATTAAGGAAATAAATAAATGTTAAATAGACAACCATCACAAACATTCAGACCAGGGATCGAACCCTAGCCTTAGAGATGGCCACACTCTAACAGACTCGATCACAGAGGTTGTCGTATGGAACGTCAAATACACTTTCACTTAATCTGGTATCAAGGATATCAGAGTAAGTGTAGTTAGGCGATAGACCCATTGGTGCTACGTTTTAAATACTAGCCGAAGTTCATAAGTTTAATTATTCCAGTTTTAAGGACACAATCTTAACCGGTAACTCCAACTTTAACGGAACGTTAAGAGTATCAAACTAGAATCCAATGACAGTTATATGAAGTTCAATTAGTGATGCGATAGATATGCTGAAGGAACATATAAGTGCTGCCTGTCAGTGAAGGAATTCATTTTGTCTTATTTCATAATTTATTTTTATAATATTGCAGAGAGAATTGAGCACGACCATGGTGCCAACGATCGCCGGCGAAGGAGCGGATGCGACTCTAGAGCCCACCACCGACCCATTAAGAACCAATTTACCAGCTTCCGCGGCACCAACTAATGCGAGACGGACTAGCACGAAGCAAACTACTATGAGACAAACTACCACGAGACCAACTACCAGGAGAACAACTACTACGAGATCAACTAACACGAGAAAAACTACCACAAGACCAAGTACCAAGAGTAAAATTACTACGAGAACTACGAGACCAACTACCAGGAGAACAACTACTACGAGACCAACTACGACGAGAACAACTACCACGAGAACAACAACCACGAGACCAACTTCCACGAGACCAACTACCATGAGACCAACTACCACGAGACCAACTACAACTAGACCAACTACCACGAGACCAAGTACCAAGAGAACAACCACTCCGAGAACTACGAGACCAACTACCAGGAGAACAACTACCCTGAAAACAACTACCACGAGACCAAGTACCATAAGGACAACTACTACTACAAGAACTACGATAACAACTACCAAAAGAACAACTACCACGAGACCATCAACCATAAGAACAACTCCTACGAGAACTACTATAACAACTACCACGAAACCAACTACCACGAGACCATCTACCATAAGAACAACAACTACTACTACTACAACCACGAGACCAACTACCACACGAACTACCAGACCAACTACGACAAGACCAACAGGACCCTATATCAAACCCCCGGGGTACCAGAGACCACCTTGGGAACAACCAGGACCGGGGGGACAACAAGGTCAATGGGGACAACCAGGTCAGTGGGGAGGACAAGGACCAGGAGGTCAACCAGGTCAGTGGGGAGGACAAGGACCAGGAGGTCAGTGGGGGGGAGAAGGACCAGGAGGTCAGTGGGGTGGACAAGGACCAGGAGGTCAGTGGGGGGGACAAGGACCAGGTCAGTGGGGGGGGCAAGGACCAGGTCAGTGGGGGGGACAAAGACCAGGTCAGTGGGGGGGACAAGGACCAGGAGGTCAGTGGGGGGGACAAGGACCAGGAGGGTATGGCCCGATAGACCCCACATTTGTTCCCACTACTAAGCCACAACGAACCAGGCCATTTGGAGCTACAGACCCCTTGTATCCCGATCGACCGTGGTAGGTAATTTTTGTCAGAGTAATGGCTGGTTTACACGAATTAAGTTGAAAATTAGATAACAATTTTTTTTTTTTTAATTTTTAGTGATCAATCGTATGTAAACACAGAATCTAGTAACATATTTCAAAGTAAAATATAATTAACAACTTAACACGTTATACTAAAGAGTAATTATTAAAGCTAATGTGACTAATTAACGATTATGTATAATTGCTAGATATTAATAATGATTACTAAACTTTGTGGTTAATGTAGGTAATAAATTTATCAATTTAACTATCAATTGAACTTATTCATAATAACTACCTATTTGGGAAAGAACTACACGGAGTTATTAAGGGATGGGATCGACGTTTAATTTTATTAATAAAAATAAATTATAAAAATACACGCTACCCCCTTACCAAATTCAAGAGGTATGTAATAAAAAGTCTGTGTAATTGGTTACATGATACGAAGTGTGGTCAGTATAAAGTCGACAATGTGTAGTCTGACGTGCCGCCGAGTGTACATTTCTGAGTTTTTAAATATCCATATAAGTTTGAGTGAGCTCGAGGACAGTGACATTACTTTACTATGAGACATTACTTAATGTCGTTAGGAGGTTCCTAGTCACCAGTGAAATGTATTTTCAGCTAAGACGATATTTTTCTTGGTTCGGTGCGTTGCTAGCCATTGTGAGGGTTTTCAACTCATCGATGACCCTAGGTAGTGGGTATGGGGCATCTTTACCCACCATCCCATTTTTCCCACTCTTTTGGTAATTACAGCTTATGTCACCCACGTATAATGTAGCTTCCCATAGGTGTTTTTTTTTTAAATCGTTCCGGTAGTTTTGGTACCCATTCAATGCAAACCAACAATCAAATCTTTCCTATTTGCAGTATCGGCAGAGTGTTAGGTGTATAATAATTTATTAACTAAATTTTTCCCATTACTTCGCCCGCGTAAATTATAACCTGTATCACCCATACGAAAAAATTTCGCGTGGGTGAAGGAATTTTGAAAATTTGTTCCAATATTTTCGGGAGTCTATTCAATGCAAACTTTTCGCAAATTTTTCTCCTTTGTAATATTGGTATGAGGTTTAAAGTTAATGCTTAATGATTAAAAACTTTTTAGTGGAAACAGCATTAAAAGCATAGAGCAACTTGTGTCCTATATTATGAAGAGTACTAATGTCACTATTGAGAACATAGAGAAATTAAAATAAAACAAAGAGTCTAGGTAATAAACAGTATTCGAGAAAAATATTGATTCGAGGTGCTCGTATTATTTATAGATCTTGTTATAGCTCAATAATTAGTGGATTATACCAAATGTATCGTTTACTGCGTTCCGAGAAGCATTATAAAGGCTAAAATGGACGAGGGTCAAGAATCTGTTATCACTACTACGGTAGAAGAGGTCGATATTTATATACCAATTTACGTATTGACTGGAGTCTTTGGAGCGATTTTCATCATAGGTCCATTTTTGGTCCCCAAAAAGAACGAAAATCGAGAGTAAGTTTTCACAGTTTCTATTACTTTTGCATTACTTAAGATCTGTTTACTTTACTATCTTAATGCTATTAGGTAAATATTTGATACTTACCTAAAGTTTTCAAGTTACTTTTTGGTGTAATAAAGCTGAAATTTCAGGAACTCAATCCCATAAAAAACTTATATTCTAATTAATATATAAATTAACATCTTAAACCATTTAAAAGAAGTTTAGTGTCTAGCCAAGTGACAATCGGATTCGCGCACAAAGGATTTCGTACCATTATCTATAAAAAATACGTTTGTTGTATAGGATTTTTAGTATTTAGAGAATATACATCATCGGTGAAATTTTCATCTGTCTAAAGACGGAAAGTGGAGGCTTGTGGTTTATATTTTCCTTTGTTCCCGTTGAGTCACACTCATCCGTCAGAAGGTAAATCCGCTTTGTTATCTGTTTATGTAAATCAAATAGGGAGAATATACCATGACCACGCGGGCCCAATGCGACTTGGTAGGTGTTTACGACTACAGATGCAGCCGGAAGCGACGGCTTAACGTGCCTTCCGAAGCACGAAGGAGCTCGAGATAATAAATGTTAGTCACACATCCTGTGACAAGAAGTTCTAACATGATCGAAAAAGATTTAGAAATAAATGAAACAACAGTTTTACACGGTTTCATTTATGGATAGTGCTCGTGACTTAGGAAATCAATATAATTTAGAAAAATATTTATGATGGATTAATTAAAAGGGATTAAACGCCAAGAATATGTATTTGGAAGAAACAATACCAGGAATATTTAAAAGGAACTTTTGTTGCAGAGTTATACAACACTGCATAATGTTGACAGCTTTTTGTATGTGGATTTTGTAAGTATTAATAAAGAAATGTATATTGTATATTCGATTTCAATATAATCAAAGCGATAGTTTGTGATTGTGATTGTGAAATACATATATAAAATATATATATTCTTTCTACGGAATTATTATAACAGTATTTTGTCAAAGTAATATGAGACTAAAATATTCGATTTCAATATAATCAAAGCGATAGTTTGTGATTGTTGACTAGCACCCGGTTTCTGAATTGAGAATTTGAAGTTCTCAAACCGTGCTTAAGCCATTTAAACGTCAATAAAACAGCTTTTCATCACTGATTTCTAATTTTTTAATGATCAGTTGACAGCAGTTTGATAAAACTAGGACTTTTTGTCATATTAAACGTAAAAAACTTAAGTTATTGAGAATAATCAATTAGATTTTGTGCTTTTCTCAATTCAGAAACCAGTCGATATTTGTGTAATTTCCTTCACTTCATGGTATCTACTCGCAGGATGTCAAAAAAATTACAGTGCCTCTGATGCACAGATAACATTCACGAATATAATTTAAAAAAAATATATAAGAACTATTCGAAAAATCGAAATTGTCCTTCGTTCGTAAACACACACCCTCTGTTGTGCTGCTGTGTAGATACCTCAAGATCTTTTTCAGTAAAACTGTAACCAAATATTATTTTCCCTTCGATCATAGTCACGTAAATTATTAACTTCAGTTAATTGTACACTACTATTTTTTTAGATGGGTCACCATTTATATTGCCCAAATGCACCCTCTGAAGGCCCCGAGGCTAAAGAACACGACCATGGCTTGGCTCGTCAATGGTGACGTAAGTTGATAGAAAAAAACCTTAAACAGTAATAATTATTGGTATTACTGTTTAAAGTTTTAGGTAGCAATTCTATTGCACAAACCCATAGATCAGAAACCCATAGATCCTTTTTTTTTCTTTCTCAATTTCAATATCAACTAAGAAAATATAAATATCATAATTATATTTAAGTTTATATGAGTATAATAATATTTTTTCGATTACATATGGAATAACGTAATATATGCCTAATATTATAGTTTTATATTTATCTATTTATTAATCTTTATCTACTGTTCTATATATGCCCTAAATTTAATTTTATTATTATGGAAATAAAGCTTTGCTCATTTACATTGAATAATTTACTTTCAATGTAAGTTTGTGAATTGTATTAAGGTATCTGTGACTTAATATCAAAAGTTATTGTTTAGTAATGTTCATTTTTTGGTATATCTACAACTTTGCGTCAACATCTGCTTCTTTTTGAGCCAATGTCTCTAATTTCTTTCTTTGTCTATATAATTTATACTTCTCTGCATTTGTTAATTTCTTGGATTGCATTAAGATTCAAACAGATGAAATCATTCCAGACTTACTTTGGATGTGTGATAGATTTTCACCGTAGAAAGCAAATTAGGAGTACAACCTATCGACTGTGAACTGGCAAATTGTGTTATCTCAATTTTGACATCTTTTCAGGAAATAGAAAAAACGTAATTATTAATAGTTTTGGAGTGATTTATCCAAAATAAAAAAACAGTTGGTTTAATATATGTTTTCTATTAGAAATTAAAGTTATTTTTTTATTTAATAATCATTTTAATTAGAAAATCGAGTTATGACATTGTGAATCAGCTGTAAGTCCCACTTAGGATATTTTAAACGATGCAAAAGGTCCGAAGTTATAAAAAGAAAATCAATATTCAAGATGGGATAAATTTCACTTTCAGTTATTTGTATTATTATTGCATATTAAATTATAATAATAGCAAAAATCAACATGAACTTTGGTAAGATTAAAGAAACGTTACTATTATTAGTCTTGGCAGGGTAAATTATCATAAAAATAATGGCAATCCTTAGGTATGACAAATTTTAGTTCTTGCAGATGTAACCACTTAGTTTTGGATATACAACATCGTGCTGTAAATAACGGTGGTTACGACTGTACGGGATCAAATCGTTTTGGTCTTTGTGGTAAATCTTTTAGTTCCTCAGAAAAGTCTAGTTTTACTTTAATTATTCCCGAAGGATGATAGCTTATCACTTTTATGTCGGTTACTGTTGGATCATGTTTCATTCGACCAGGTCTAATAGAATTATATCGTAAAGGCTTTGTATAGTCTCGAAAAAAGTCGTAAGTAAGGTCTATGGCTTCGTGTGGTGTTAGCTTTTCACGAGCTTCTCTAGTAATAGACACGTAGTCACTGGGGAGTTTGATTTCTTTCTTTTTTAATTTTCTCTCGATGCATGCATGAACAGAATCCACTTCCATCTGGGTATGACCGACCTCAAGATATTTTTGATATATCAAAACTCCCTGAAGCATACTAAAATTTAGCAGAGCATTTGCCATCACATTACTTCTGTTTATTTATGATAGGTTTTTTCTGCAGTTATGCATTTTTTTTTCCAGATAATGAATCAAACATGAGACAAAAGTAGATGCTACTAATTGATTGTTTTGGTCTTCGGAGAACCAGTAACAAGTTGATTGTTTTTTTACGATATCATATATTGTAAAGTTATGGCAGGCTAGTTTTGTTTTGTAGTAGAAAGCATTAGCATGAGTAAATGGCGCTAGCTTAGCTGCCTGGAAGTCTACTTCTATTAATATTATTTTTCCTATATTAGCTTTTTCTTTATCTTCCCGTTTTTCCTTACTAGCTTTTTCTTTCTTCTCTATGTGTTCTTTCCAGGACTCTTCCTGTAGATTTCCTGCTTCGTAGCTAGCACATACATTGCATTTATCTTTTTTGACGTTAAACAAGGAAATATTTTTGCTGCTCATAACTTCACTGAACTTTTTGCGACTAAAACTTGGTTGTCCTGTTTCATTACATTTAACTAAATAAAGTTTATATACATCTTTAATAGTCTGAAGAACAGGTACAGTTTTGATGAATTTTGTCTATTGTAATTTTTGGTAAACTATCCAAAAAATTACTTAAAAAAATCTTCCTGTGACCTGACCTGACCTCACCACACTATTAACGGAAGTATTTTTGATTTTTATTGTAGCTGGAATTCCATGAGAGCTATCGTTTACCCTCGATTGGACCATTCTGTAGTCGATTCCTAAAGTATTTAGGAACATATCTCGACAAACTTGATAATTATTATTCAAATTATAAATTAACGTACAGTTACGCCTTGAGTCACCATCGGTTGTGTTTGTTTTTTTAGCAATCTTAGTCACGTATCCACAAACAAATGCTTTGCGCTCTCCCCAAGTTAGGCCCCAAAATCGTTGGTAGATTGATTCTCACTGTTCTTGGGTGAAATATTGGCAATTTCGTTTCTTTGAGTTAGCATAGACAGTACTCATGCAAGTTGGTTTTATTTTACGTTCGTCCCTTGGTATATCCTGAATAACTGTAGACCCGGCTTTTCTGAATCCTAAGTACGCCTTCCCTTCCATACGTAATTTTTTGTTAATATTCCTCTTCCACTGGCTAGGGTCGGCTTTCTTTCGCCGTTTTCTTCCTTCATTCATGTTGTGATTATTGGGATCTATAAACTTATCAGATTCGTTTTCGAGAATAGATGAAGACAGCAGGCGTTCATGATCATGAGTATTTGTAAGCGTGATTGGTTCCTGAGAATCGTTTATTGTTTTTTCTAAATAAATAATTTGTTCCCTTGAGCTTTCGGAGTTTGTATCGTGTGCGAACTCCAGTTGTATTGGTAAAACTTCTTGTTCTGAAGAAGGCACACAACGTGGAATTATATGATCTGTAGAGGGAAGATGGGCTTCTTCCATATTAAATGAATTTAGAGAAACATAATCCGTAATGCAAGAATCTTCAGTCAACACTATAACAGGGAGTGTTTGTTGTACCTCGGGAATACATTTCTGATAGTCGTTAATGTTCTGTGAACAAAAAAGTATTATCTGCATAATATTAAATTTTCGTGAGAAATAGATACTTACCATCATTAGTTCAAGTCATATTAAGTAGTGCAGTTTACCTCTTTCGCTGATGTGTTTTCGTTTCTTTCATTATTTCCGTTAGCATCATGTACCGCTTGCACTAAACGTCTACCTCTAGACAACTTATAGTCCTGTATTAAAAAATATATATTAATAATTGTGTTTCAAATAATATAAAAAAGATATAAAATAAAAAATTTATGGAAACTAAAAACAAAAAGCACTATCTTGCTTCAATTTTTAAACCGACACCTACATTAGGTACATACAAACTCTAATTCATTTTGTCCTATCTTATTATTCAAATTATTAACGTCTAATTATTATATAACTTCAATGAAATCCCATTAAATACTCACCATTTTTAATCCTGGATAACATTAATAATATTTTGAAATAACATAAAACACAGAACACTCCTAAATATTACTATTATACCCTTTTTTCCTAAGAGCGGTTGAAGAACGTGTTCATGTTGGTACCAATTTAACGAGATAGTACAAATTACTCGCATTTTAAGCGGAAGCGCTGTTAGTATTGGTTGAATTAATTAGATTTTGCCGGTAAATTTAAATTGTTTAGTAGATATTATATTATGAAACGGTAAAAGATATGAAATAAAATGCCATAAAAAAGTTTTATACCTCAAATTTAATGATAGGACATATTGCCGGTTCACAGTCGCTATACAGGTTGACTGAGTTTTTTTTATACTACTCCTCCCTATTCATTTACAGACTGTTTTTAACTATGTGTATCTATATTTGAGCTCAGAGCGCTTACTGTAAATTTTTTTGACGTTTACGTTCACTGTCGATCGTGAGCGCGTTAAGATTTTACTAATTCGTACAGCGCCCCTAGCGGTAACTACCAAGAACTACAAATCTCCATACAAATTCACTAGTGAGTGCGTAAAACTTTCCTTAACCATCCATAAGGAAGGCCTGAGCCCCTGCAGTGGGAACGTAAAAAGGCTGGTGATGGTGATGGTGGAGCGTAAAACTTACACTTAGCACTCAGTATTATAACGCGTTTCGTGCAGTTCACTCGTGTGTGTAGATATGGAGACAAAAACTAAAGCTATTATTTTAGCATTTAGTATTTTTTTTATTTGCAAAAGTTTTCTGTATGCCTTTCCTTTCTTAATTGCATCCTTACAGTTTTTTGTTGACGAATCCCACAATTCGGGCAAGACTTCTAAATTTAAAAAGAAGTCCTTAAGAATTGTTTGTTCATTTGTAAGCCTAGTTATAGTACTTGCCATTGTGACTGGCGATACGTCAGTCTCCATTGCTGTCGCGATGAGTACTGACATTTCTCAATATTTATTATACGTGTAGTTCAGTATATTGACGGATCTCAAAATTTATCAGAAACTGGCAAACCGGAATCCGAAAATCTAGATTTTTATGACATATATTGTCATATATGGCAGACTAGACGAACACTATATATCAAAATATGAGATCAATATTGATTGATAACAATATTTATTGTACGTCTAGCCTTCGCCTATGGATGGAATGTTACATTCCTCGCAAAACCATGGTGATATACAATAATGTTGGGCTTTAGGTAGATAGCGGTAGTTGAGATTCTATTGAGATGCAATAAGGAATATGCACATTTTTGGAAAATGTTTTTATATGATAATTTACATCGATATATAAATGTAAAAAAATACCCGGCACCTTAAAATTAAAATTTGTAACATTAATAATTGATGAAAATGAGTATTAGCTATGAGCAGTTTAAACACCGGAATTTTTGGCGCGCTCGTCGTGATGTCAAAGTACACGACTAGAGATATGACATTTTAAATCAATATGGATTTTGAGTGATTGATTATTATTCAATTACCCAAATCGATTAACAACTAATCGTTTTTTTAAAGTATAATAGACTTTTTTTAATAAATCATATAACTTACAAAATTGGTGAAATAAAAATAAAAGCCTAAAACACCATTTAAATTGTAATCTGTTGTTTATTTTGCGACTTAATACATTGATGTTATTGCATCGATGTTAACTTTTTGTAACAACGACATCCCTATACGTGTACATTTTCGTCACAGCCGCTCCGACAAGTAGTATGGCGTTTAAATATTTTGATTTTACCGCATTTATTTTGCACTTTTTAATAATTATTTTCAAGACGAAAACGAACTGTTGTTGACAAATAATTACACAGACTTTATACTAAAGCAATAAGGATCGTAATAAAATATATTTAACCCTTTTTTGAATCAGACGCATATTCCCTATTATTAAGTTAACGTTAGCATAACTGACTTATAATTATTGTTCATTTCATACCAACATATCCTCGGTAAATCTAAGGCTTAATCTCAGAGACACGGTTAATGCGGTGTTAATGCCACTTTAGTTATGACTATTAAATTTTTTAAAATATTCAAAGTCAAAGACTTAAATATATTGTAAAATTATGGGGGCATTGGGCGATTAGATTAGTACATGGTGTTTTGTATTAGTGTAAAGAGTGGCAAATATTACGTTTGCCTGGAGCGTCACAATAGCTGGACCGAACCTTGCCTTGAATTGATCATGGGATCAGCGAGTTTATTGGAGAACTTTGGGTTGAAAGGTGTCAGTGCTACCTTCAGGTCTACCGCCTAGTACAGATACATCGATTGCCTCGAGATCACAAACATTCAGACCAGGAATCGAACTCTAGTTAGAGATGGCCACACTCTAATAGAAACGGCCACAGAGGTCGTCGTATGGAACGTCAAATGCACTTACACATAATCTGGTGTCAAGGATTTCGGAGTAAGTGTAGTTAGGCGATAGACCCACTGGTGCTACGTTTCAAATACTAGCCGAAGTTCATAACTTTAATTATTCCAGTTTTAAGTACACAATCTTAACCGGTAACTCCAACTTTAACGGAACGTTAAGAGTATCAAACTAGAATCCAATGACAGTTATATGAAGTTCAATTAGTGATGCGATAGATACGCTGAAGGAACATATAAGTGCTGCCTGTCAGTGTAGGAATTCATTTTGTCTTATTTCATAATTTATTTTTATAATATTGCAGAGAGAATTGAGCACGACCATGGTGCCAACGATCGCCGGCGAAGGAGCGGATGCGACTCTAGAGCCCACCACCGACCCATTAAGAACCAATTTACCAGCTTCCGCGGCACAAACTAATGCGAGACGGACTAGCACGAAGCAAACTACTATGAGAAAAACTACCACGAGACCAACTACCAGGAGAACAACTACTACGAGATCAACTAACACGAGAAAAACTACCACAAGACCAAGTACCAAGAGTAAAATTACTACGAGAACTACGAGACCAACTACCAGGAGAACAACTACTACGAGACCAACTACGACGAGAACAACTACCACGAGAACAACAACCACGAGACCAACTTCCACGAGACCAACTACCACGAGACCAACCACCACGAGACCAACTACCACTAGACCAACTACTACGAGACCAACTACCACTAGACCAACTACTATAAGAACAACAACAACAACTACTACAACCACGAGACCAACTACCACACGAACTACCAGACCAACAACGACACGACCAACAGGACCGGCTATCAAAGCCCCCCCATGGGCCGGGAAACCGTGGTTGTCTCCACCAAAATGGGGACTACAAGATGAGTGGGGACAACAAGGTCAAGGGGGACAACAAGGAAAAGGAGGTGTATGGTACGGCCCGATGGACCCCACCAATTTTCTTGGTACTCAGCCAAAACTAACTAGGCCATATGGAGCTACAGACCCCTTGTATCCCGATCGACCGTGGTAGGTAATTTTTGTCAGAGTAATGGCTGATTTACACGAATTAAGTTGAAAATTAGGTAACAATTATTTTTTTTAATTTTTAGTGATCAATCGTATGTAAACACAGAATCTAGTAACATATTTCTAGATTCTGTGTTTACAGACAGTTTACAGTTTACAATGTTTACTGTGTTCACGTTATACTAAAGAGTAATTATTAAAGCTAATGTGACTAATTAACGATTATGTATAATCGCTAGATATTAGTAATTATTACTATACTTTGTGGATAATATAGGTAATAAATTATTCAATTTATCTAGAGATTATTCATAATAACTACCTATTTGGGATTGGCGAAAGTAATATAATACGTAATGAAAGTAATGAGAAAGAACTACACGGAGTTAAAATACACGCTACCCCTTTACCAAATTCAAGAGGTATGTAATAAAAAGTCTGTGTAATTGGTTACTTGATACGAAGTGTGGTCAGTATAAAGTCGACAATGTGTAGTCTGACGTGCCGCCGAGTGTACATTTCTGAGGTTTTAAATATCCATATAAGTTTGAGCGAGCTCGAGGACAGTGACATTACTTTACTATGAGACATTACTTAATGTCGTTAGGAGGTTCCTAGTCACCGGTAAAATGCATTTTCAGCTAAGACGATATTTTTCTTGGTTCAGTGCGTTGCTAGACATTGTGAGGGTTTTCAACTCTTTTGGTAATTATAGCTTATTCCCCATAGGTGCATAGTTTCCCATAGGTGATTTTTTTTTAATCGTTCCGGTAGTTTTGGAATCCATTCAATGCAAGCAAACAATCAAATCTTTCCTTTTTGCAGTATCAGCAGAGTTTTAGGTGTATAATAATTTATTAACTACATTTTTCCCGTTACTTCGCTCGCGTAAATTATAACCTGTATCACCCATATGAAAAAATTTCGCGTGGATGAAAGAATTTTGAAAATTCGTTCCAATATTTTCGGGAATCTATTCAATGCAGACTTTTCGCAAATTTTTCTCCTCGCAATTTATCTAGAGATTATTCAAAATAACTACCTATTTGGGATTGGCGAAAGTAATATAATACGTGATGAAAGTAATGAGAAAGAACTACACGGAGTAAAATACACGCTACCCCTTTACCAAATTCAAGAGGTTTGTAAAAAAGTCTGTGTAATTGGTTACTTGATACGAAGTGTGGTCAGTATAAAGTCGACAATGTGTAGTCTGACGTGCCGCCGAGTGTACATTTCTGAGTTTTTAAATATCCATATAAGTATGAGTGAGCTCGAGGACAGTGGTGCAATTTAGGCATCCCGTATTAAGGTTTCATCGACTTGAATTCCAAGCTACCTACTTTATATTGTCAACCCGTTCCATTTACACACGGCTCTATCTAAGTAACTGTAACAGGTATACTTTACAATCTTATCTCCACTGATCATAACAAACTCTTAAAATAAATTTCTTATTTCAAACGTTTTAGAGCGTGACTTAGTTGTAGTTGGGTTTAAGTTATTGAACTTATTTTTATTTAATTAATTTTCGGAGTAATACAGAACAGAACGACAGT